TATATATGTAGATATATAGATATATAGATATAGATAGATAGAGAGAGAGAGAGAGAGAGAGAGAGAGAGAGAGAGAGAGAGAGAGAGAACAAATTATCAGAGGTGGGCATCGGTGAGTCCGTCAATGAGCTGCTGTCAGTATTTCAGGCCGAGTCTGTCCGACTCGGCTGTAACAGCCAAACGGCCTTGAGAATGTACATACCTGTGCTACGTCACATAGCCAAATGCAGAAAAAATAAAACTGTGTTGTATGCCTTTCAGTCCCACAGACCTCAATGACATCCATCCATCCATTTTCAACTCTGCTTATCTTGAACAGCTGGAGCCTATGCCAGCTAAGTTGGGGCAAAAGGCGGTTACACCCTAAACTGGTCGGTCTGAAATACTGACGGAAAAAGTGACAGACCGACGGAACTTCTTTCAGTCTGACGGAATGCCCACCTCTGTAAAATATAATTCACTGGACATGACTGATAATAAGCATTTGAGATCAAAGTCAATTTTTAGTCCATGAGGGGTTAGGCAAGAAGACATCATGGCCACCTGGGCTGATCAACTCCACACGCTGTGGTTCAAGCAAAAAGAAACAAATGATCCAATGAAGACTGTGCTGAAATATTATCTTACCTTATGTCACATTAAACATAGCCTTTTACAACTGCTATGTGAGTGTGTCATTTTATTTTTGTATTTTGAGATTTTATTTCTCCAACATCTGCGCCTCCAAGACAGTCAAGTGTGTGTTTGCCTCTTTTTGCCCAACAAAAACATGTCATGATTTTTGTGGTGTTGGTTTCAGAATAAAATTTTCTGACAAGTAAAATTCTTGTCTGTCGTTGTGACTTGTTGAAGATCCCATTTAACCCTTTCATGCACCCTGTAACCCACAGGTCTCAAACTCAAGGACCAGGGGCCAGCTCTGGCCCACCACATCATTTTATGTGGCCCGCAAAAGCAAATCAAAGATGGCAACTTTCATGATGCTTGCTTAAATCTCTACCAACATTTCAAATAATCATTTGTAATAAATAAGAGTGATACTGCAAGCATTTTCTTATTACAAAACCCCTCATTACAGTAACTTCAACAGTAGGTGAATAACCCGTCTTTTTGACTTCTTTATATGGTTTCAGTCATAACGGCCTTCCAAGGGAAACTCACTAAAATCTGGCACGCAACAAAAATTAGTTTGATACCCCTGCTGTAACCTGATTACATGACAAGGTGTCCACTGTAGTAACCGCTGTCCCTGAAAGAGTAAAAGACCAATTTATGCCAAAGCACAGGTTATTTCAAAAGGTTCACACACTCTACGTGCACGACCAATAAGCCTTACAAAGCCAGTATTTTAACGTCTGAACAAACTGAAAATAACGCGTTTGTAATTCATGGAGACAGTATTAATTTCAGACCTATTACTAAACTGGCATGGCAGGGGGATGCGCAAGATTACATGTGTGCAACCTCCCAATTCTCTGTTGTGTTGATCGTGAGAGTGTGATGTTCTACTGACGTGTTGTGTGATGAATTGATCCAGTAATGGGACAAAGGGTTGTTCATGTCTTGGTTGTTGATCTCCGATAATTTCTCATCCCACAGGCAGTTCTCTTTGGAAAACAGGAAGCTGAGGAACTAGGAATGACATGGAGAAGAGACACATGCAAATACAGTAAAATACCTGTGTGTCACCTTTCAGAAAGGAAATGATAACAATGAATGAAACTGTATTGGTGATTTTCTTGAATACCTCACTGACTGTGAACTCTGGGTCGTTGGTTTTTCGCATGGTGTCATCAATGAAAGTGGTCATCAACTCTCGAACTTTGTTGAGATCACTTGCCCAAGACTCCTTCGTGAATAGAAAGAAACACAAGACATCACTCAACTCAACTGTATCGAGCACTTTCAAACAGCCATCGCTGCATACAAAGTGCTGTACATGGAGCAACTAACATATAGACAACAATAAAGCAATAAATCACTTACAACGATGGTAGAAGGCACCAAACAATAAAACTAAGATCAAATCTGAGTCAGGCGTAGAAAAAAAAGTAGTGTGTTTCCGGTAACCCGAACCGACCGAGAATTTCTACGTCGAAAAAAAAACTTCACGGCCGGCATTTTTTTCAAACAACCCTCTACATTTTTGTGTAGAGGGTTTACATCGGTGCAAACTCTCGCGATATTCACGTTGAGCGCGTGCGTCGTTTGCCCTGTCGTCTGTCAACAACATTGAAACATGGCGGCAGCCGCGATCTCCGACGACAGTTTAAACCACGTTTTCTGTGTTACAGACAGTTGCATGCTCGCACTGTAATGTTAAGAAAATAGCATTTATTGATGTATCGAAAAAATTCAGCCAACTATTTGATGAACACCATGGGCCAAGTAAAAACTGAGGGCGGAGGAAGGCGGCGGCGCGCCCCAGCCCCCCCGAGTCCGGAGCGGGGAGAAAACTAAATAGGTGGCGGCGGCGCCGGCCGCGCAACGGCGTGTTCAATGTCTTCTTGTTTTATGTTTTATGGTTATTTTGTTTAAATTTTTGATGGGAAAAAAAAAAGATTAAAAAAAAAAAAACTGTACGACCTACCGACCCTATACTGAAATTTCTTGTTCCTGGAAACACACTATCTTTTTTGTTCGGCCTAACTACATTGATTACCAAGAGGCCATCCTTGACACCGCTGGAGACCAGATGAAGCGTTTTGATGGTGTCGTCAATAAGTCCCTGCCAGCCAGCTAAAACGTAGAAAGACAAAATCACACACGTGCTCCAATATTTAATGTGTATTCAAACAAACTGACTCACTGATGACTGGGTCGCTCTTGAATGGCATTTTGGAAAGTGAAAGCTTGCGAGGTCATTTAAAGATTTGAAAACAAATAATAGGATCTTGTGTTTCATTTCAGCGAAGACATTAACTGGTAACTCTCGTGGTTGTCACAAGTACACAACTTTAAAGTGGCAAAAATGAAAGGAGGCGCTAATTTGTATTCATTATTGCAGGTTGAATTATAATCTTTATTCATCCATCCATCTAGCCGTAATCTTACACTTATTGCCCCCCCCCCCCCCCCCCCCCCCCCTGTGCCCAAATTTGAGAGCCCGCACAGCTAAGGCGGCAAAGGATCAGACATGACAGTTGAGGGCATAATCCACCTTCTGTCTGTACACAGCTGGGATAAGATCCAGCATGCCTGCGACCTTCGTGAGGATAAGTGGTTTGAATAATGGGTGAATGGAATTTTTGGTGCAACTTTTTGTCGCTCTCACACGCGATTTTCTGAGGATATTAAATTCCTGGGGGTGGAATGTGGTTTATCTCTCACAGTTAACAGTGCAAACTTAAATCCCCATAAATTGAAATTCCTCAGAGGATTGCATTTTCCAATTACAATCTCCGTCTTGCAATGTTCCCTCTAACTTTCCATGCATCTGAGCATTCACACAAATTCCATGACCCTTCCTTGGACCACGGTGAGCAAACATCAGACATTCACACGGTGGCTAAACCAGCAAAAGCAAATTCTGTAATCATCATAATTTTAAATAAAGTGCCGCTTCAATATTTGCGATTTTATAACAGAGTGACATGAGAGAGACTTTATATCAACAATATGTGAGTATAGAAATGTTTAAAAAAGTAAACTACAGGACATTAAATGTTGCATAATATTACCAATTACTGTCAACGTGTTGAAATGCATCATTTGTTCGACAATATTCCTCATAAAGGTTTTAAGGGCGGAAGAGCTGAAAGAACTCATCTGAATTGGACAACCTTTTGGCCATTGACTATTCATCCATATGTTGTGGTTAGTATGCTTCAAGTGTGCAAAGATATTCTCACTCAAGCATCGGGGTTCATTTCCTGGGTTGGCAATAAGAGGATTGGTGAGATGATGAGTGGACAGTATGAACACTCAACAACTCGGCATCATCAATTGATGTGTTGACAAACACAACGCAACTATTTTTGTTGGTTTGTGTTTTTTTTGTTTTTTTTTAATAAATGCTAAGCCATAAGTGTTACAGGCCTAAATGGTTAGCATATACTTCGCTTGTCACCATGGAAATACACAAGCCACAACGTGACGGTAATCATATAATTAACAGGGAACATTCATTCCGCAGAGGTTATGTTATACAATATATGTTATATAACATAATATTACCCCTTATATAACATACAGTAATCCCTCGTTTATCACGGTTAATGGGGACCAAAACCACCCGCGATAAACGAAAATCCGCGAAGTAGCGACCAATAAAACATATAAAGGTAAAAAAAAAAAAAATATATA